TGGAGGAGTGATGAGCAAAGGGGTCAAGACCGTGCTGGTGAAACCCACAAAGACAGCTGACTGGACAAGGGGGAGCTCTTGAACCCCAGACTGATGGCTGAGAGGCAAACAGGGGACTGATCCAGACTCCATGAATGTGGTACTAAACTGTGCAAAGATTTTCTTCCTGTTATTTGCTGAATAATACAGTGTAGCAACTATTTATATAGTGTTTACATAGTTCAGATATAAGAAGTAACCCAGAACTCCCGGCAGTTGTGGCTCATGCCTTTAATCCCAGCACTTACGAAGCAGAGGCAGGTGAATCTTGTTGAGTTAGAGGCCAGCCTGGTCTACAAGGCGAGTTCCAGGACAGTTAGGACTGTTACACAATAGAAACCCTGTCTCAAAAAAACAAAACAAAACAAAAGTAACCCAGAAATCATTTAAGGTGCATAGAAAGACTTGTATAGGTGGTGTGTAATGCTATGCCATTTTCTATGAGAGATTTCAGCTTTCTTTTGTTCTCTCCAGAGACAGGATCCAGGAATCAACATGCCTGATATGGAAGGCAGCTACCTGTTTCTTTGCTGAGTAACTTGTTAGTGTAGATTCTTCAAGGTTCATTCATATTGCTGCATGTGTGAGGATATCCTAGCTTTTAAAGACAGAGCAATACTTCATTATATGTTACACATTTATCAGTGATGAGCACTGGATTGATTTCATCTCAAGGTGAATAATGTTGCTATGAATACTGATGTACAAATTCCCAATTATCAATTGACTGGGGAATCACATACCTAGCAGTAGAAACTGCAGGGTTGTATGGTAATTCTATGCTTCAAGTTTTGATGGGGCTGATACTGTTTTCACAATAGTTTTACCACTTTTACTAAAAACTGTGCAAGGAGTTTCAATTTCTTCGCATTGTAAATGTTTTCTTTCTCCCTCCTCTCCCTGTCCCCCCCCCCTTCTGTCTTCCTCATCATCCTACTAGGGTTTAAGTAATGCATCTAAGAGATTTCAATTTTCTGGTCTCTCTATCCTTTCATGTGCTCACCGGTCATTTGTAGATCCCCTTCAGAGAAAGGGATCTACAAATGAAAGTTCACTCCTACAGAAAGTTTACTCAATTCCTTTAGCAATTTTTATTTTAAACTTAAGTTCATTGGTTTTGGGTGTAAACTGCATGATTTCTCTTTGCATATTTTGAATATATGATAACCTCTGTGTGGGTGTGCACGCGCGTGCATGTGTGTACATGTGTGCTATGATGCTCCTGAGGAGGTCCAAGAAAGACTATCGGAAGTCCGTTCTCTCCTTCCATGTAGGTGAAAGAGGTTGCACTCAGGTTGTTAGGCCTGTCTTTATCCACTAAGCTATCTTGCCTGGCCCCAAAGTCCACATTTTTATGTATTTGAACTTAACAAATTTTCTCTTGTTACTCATTGGTTGCCGTCATATTGTTTTCTTGGATCCCACTTATCCCATCTTTTAGATATGCTGAACACTTTATTTTCTGTATTTTTGACTTGGAGTCCCTATGATGACCTTCTTGATAAGGGTTCACTTCATACACTTAGCAACTGGGAGCGAATGTTGTTGTTTGGTAAATAGCAGATGGTTGAATGGATGAATTGATGCGTGAACAAGGAGCCCATAGACACCTAGGCAGGTCTCTGTGTATCCCTGATCATTCACAGTTCTCAGACTCTCAAAGAAATGAGTGTATGTCGAGTTCTGAGCATCTTCTACTGGGCCCGAGGAAGTTACCATGAATGTCATTGTGTTGTGGAATATTACTTTACCTATGGGAAGGTATGTTACATTTGTTTATGCTGCATCTGTAAAGATGTGTTACTGTTATACCTTGCCTGCCTAAGGCACCTGATTGGTCTAATAGAAAAACTGAACAGCCAAAAGCTAGGCAGTAGAGGGATAGGTGGGCCTGATGGAAAGGAGACGCAGAAGAAGGAATCTAGGCTCAGCAATAAGAAGAGAAGTAGAGAATGAGGGAGAAAAAGGAGGAGACCCCTGGGGCCAGGCCAGTCAGGCAGCCTCCAGATAGCCAGGCATGGAGTAAGCAGGGATGTAGGACATTGAGAAGGAAAGAAAGGTAAAAAGCCCTGAGGCAAAAATGTAGATGAAAAACAGGTTAAGCTAAGTTATAAGAGCTAGTGGGGCAAGTCTGTTGACTTATAAAAATAGGTTTGATTTGGCTCATGGGTCTGGAATGGCAGGAGTCTGAGACTGGCACCTGTTTGCTTCTGGTGAGGCTGTCCATTCTGGTGGACAGCCAGAAGAAGCATCCATCGGAAAGATCACATGGTGAATGAAAGCAAGAACAAGAAAGGGCAGAGGGAGCTGAGCATGGTTGGTAATGCACACTCCCAGGCTAACTGATCTAGTCTCACAAGAGCAAGAGTTCACTCCTGTGAAAAAGGTATTTATCCCTTCTAATGACCAAATCACCTCTTATAGGCCTCACTCTCTCTCAACCAAAATTTGACATTGGTTTTCCAAAGGCCAAGTGGCCTGTCTGTGAGCTAGAGCCTGAGATCTACTTAGTGTGAGACAGATAAAAAAGGAATATCAAAGTTCCCCCCCCACCACCACCACTTTAGCTGCTTCTGAGGACAGAAAATCAAACTGCTATTGCTTACAATGTTTTAGAAACATTCACTTCAGTGGGTCTGTCTTCTCAGCTAGGCAGGGAACTTGTATTCCTGGGTGTAATGAGTCGTTTTCTGTCCGGCCAGCCAGCTCCCAAATGATGACAGGGAGACTTCTTATATTTTTGGTTGTGAGCCTAGCCTTTAACGGCTGAGCCATCTCTCCAGCCCGACAGGGAGACTTCTTAATTATGAAAGCTAAGCCTATAGCTTAGGCTTGTTCCTAACTAGCTCTTATAACTTAAATCAACCCACTTATGTTAATTTGCACTCCATCACAAGCTATTGCCTCTTTTTCATCTTGTACCTCCTGTTTCCTCTCCGTGTCTCCTGGTTTCTCATCTCTTCTTCCATGAGTGCCCTCTCTTTGGAAATCCTGCCTATACCTTCTGCCTAGCTATTGGCCACTTAGCTTTTTATTATACCAATCACAGCAATATATTCTTACACAGGGTGCAAATATGCCACAACACCTAGGTATAACTAGATGGAAGCAATAGATATATTTCTAAATAAATAGCTGATTATTTACAATTATTTATTCAACACTTAGTAAATATATATATATATGTACATATACATACATACATACATACATACATACATCAGTAACCATGCTAAGGCTTTACAAGTAATGTTGCGCTTAATTTGCTGAAAAGTTCTGAGGCAACATTGCTATTCTAATGTCAGAGAATAGGAAACTGAGTCTGAAGGGAACTAAATACCTTGCCATGGATGAGAGAGAAAATCTTCATACAGCGTGCCTCCCGCTATGCATTCTGTATTGCAGATGGCACAAAGGCAAGGTGGTATTCACTGTCTAGATGTAGAGATGCAGACACAGGAGCCTGAGGCAGTAAGTAGGGACAAGCATCCTCAGGCCATTAGGGAAATTCTCCTGTAGAAGTAGTCTTAGGTTTGACAAATCAGTGTTGGCAAAATTCAACCAGTTATTGGCCAATGCGTTCTTCTGGGATGTGGGAGCTCATCAGTTTTCAGGAACCTTCTTACTGTGAGGGCCCTTCATGAAGTTGCAAAGTTTCTGACTCTAGTTTATTGTGCTAGCCTAATCCCAGACCATTTGTAGACCTTCCCTGGGAGGTTTCAAATCAAAACTTTGAAAACCATCTATCCTTATTTAAATTGGAGAACGACGAGCTGTTGGCACTTGGTTTCCTATAGGTGGGGATGGTTCTTGAGTAGAAACAAGCTAAGAACAGAGACAATACTCCCTAAGGCAAAGTCATAGTAGCCCATCCTTACTCTGGCTTGACTGTTTAGTATCTTCTTGAATAAATAAATAAGACCATTTGTAGTCTAATAAATTCTCCATTTGCTTTGGTGGCTCTGGTCATGTTCCTGTCAACTCTTATAAGGTCCCCGAGCCACTGATGGATGGGAGTAGGTCAGTCTGGCAGAGTCAATGACCTAAACAAGTAACAGAAAAAAAAAAGCAGGAAAGTTGAATGGAAGAAGTTTCAAGAATTTGGTACCTGTTAGATTGTAAGAATCAAGACAGGAAGTTACAGGAGAGGAAGGAGCCTAAATATATAGGGGTAAATGTGATTATGGGGGCCTGGGTCTGTCAAGAACTTTGGATTTGATCTTCTATATATTCTGTTCATTCTGCAGGATTCTAAACAGAATTCTAATTGATCTATGATTAGTTGTAACTGAGGTACTCTTTTCTTTTCTTTTTTTGTTGTTGTGTGTCCCAAACTGCCTTCTGAGTGTTGTGATTCCAAGCATGTACTACCTCACTTGGTTGAAAGGTTCCTGACTTGGGACTCAAAAGCCAGTTTCAATGTCCAAGCTCTAAAGTAGCATGCTAAATATGTGGGTGTGTGGGTTTGTTTTTTGACTTAGTTTTGTAGTGATAAAGTCCTGGACTTTCATCGAATATGAGCTGTTATGAACTACCTATGTATAGACATTTCCAGGTATAACAGGCTTCCATGCAAATCTCATTTCTTTCCTGTTTTCCTTAGAAGTCTTGCAAAAACTACTATGCCGAGAAACACTGTACAGCTGTTCAGTTGTACACTGTGTTGATCAGTATTTTTCCTTTGGGATCAGTAAAAGATGTGACCTGTATTTTTATAGTTTTACATGGGATATTAACTATGGCTTCCGTTCAGTACTTGACTTATGCAGCCACGTCAGACCTGCAGCTCCCCGGGCGTGGGTGGGAGTTTGGGGAATGTCCACACAAATAAATCCAAGCGTCCTTGCCCCCCCACCTGTAGGTAGAGTGACCGACTACAAGTCCCGGGATGCGCCACGCTCACGCCCAGGGTGGGGCGGGCTCTGCAGTGACGTCACCGTACCGAGGCGGGGCAGAGGGGCGGGCCTGGAGGTGCCGGAGCGCCCTGGTGCTGATGCAGGATGGCTGAGCGCGCCGGAGCCCGGGAGGTCTGAGCCGGGCGGGGATCGCTCCCTGCGCATCTCCTACTCCGCTCGCCGCGTGGTCGCGGGCAGGTGGACCAGGGCGCAGGACCTGGCTGGAGGTCAGCAGCAGGGGGGCCCAGCTAATAGGCTGCTCTCCTTCCCGGTGGCGGAGCTGTCCGGCTGTCCAGAGCAGGCTCGCGATGACCTGCTGAGAAGCTGCGGGAGGCTGCGGGAGGCGGCCTAGCTGCGGGCAGCGGTTGGTTCGCGGCCTCCTCGGTGGCGCAGCCCAGCCCGGCCCCCCACCCATCCCCGCGTCCCCTCCAGCAGCGTCCGGAGATGGCGGATCCAGCCGAATGCAGCATCAAAGTGATGTGCCGGTTCCGGCCCCTCAACGAAGCGGAGATCCTCCGCGGGGACAAATTCATCCCCAAATTCAAAGGCGAAGAGACGGTGGTGATCGGGGTAAGTGGCCTTGGTGTCTCGCCCCTTCCTCTGGCTTTGCACCGCAGAAATCTTCCGGACGCCCCCTCGGACATCCCCGCGGGGCTGGGCTCTCGGGTGGACCCGACGAGAGCCCTTGGCCGGTGACTCCCTCGCGACAGTGGTGGCATGGGGCGGCGGGGGCGTGCGAGGTCCGCCATTGTTCGTGGGTGGGGGCTCGGGTGGGCCTATTGTTCCCACGCTCGCCTCCGCGTGGGCAGTGTTTCGGGTTGCCCAGCAAGTGGGGATGCCCAGGCCTTGGTCAAAAGTCTAAGCTCTACAACCCACAGATGCATCCAGGCTAAGGTTTGTCTTGAGACCTTAACCAAAATGGTAGGGAGGCAAGGTGCAGGAAAAACAAAATCCTCGTCTGGGCCTTGTATAGTCGGTTTCACCTTGCTCCCTGTGTGGAAGGTGAGGGGTGCTCTTGCTATCCCTGGGAGGTCTCTTTTGTCTCTTGCTTCCTATCACCCCAAATTGTCCTAGATTTGTGCTTTGTCTGCTGGATGCCGCCTTCCCACAGATCCTCTCTTCTGAGTGTCCACACACAGTTTGATAGGTTTCGCTCTGGGTGGAGGGGAGACTGTCCAGTCTTCTGAGAGAGGGAGTCCCTAGATAGCCCCTCTGTGTCAAGAGCAGAAGTTACTTTAGCATATCCAGGGTCTCCTCTTTGATCACCTTTGGCACCCCCCCGCTTCTCCCAACTTAGCTCTGTCCCTGCAGTCTGGCTGCTGAAAGGGGGAATTATACTAATGGTTTATATACCAAATAAAATAAAGTAGTCTTGTCCCCACCCCTTTTCTTAGTCTGCTCTCTCTAGAGTGTGTGGCCCACGGTGCCCTCTTTGTATTCGAGCTGCGTGGGAAGGGACTGAGTTAATGCGAGCCTCTAGGTCCCCACTGATACGTTCCTGGCAGCCCGCTCCAGGCTGCTGATGCAGCCTTCCCGACTCCAGCATTGATTAAGTGATGTCATCTCCATCACTGAGCATGCTCGGACTCCCCCCCCCCCCAATTCCCCCAAGTGATTCCAGCACTGTTGTATTTAGGTCAAGTGATTGACAGGTGACAGTTTTCTGAGAGTGTAGCTAGAGGATACCTAGCTCTTTCCAAGCGTGAGGCCTGCGTTTCTTCACCTAGGCTGCCCCCAGCAGCTTTGGCAAGGTTGTCTGCTGCAGTCACTGCAAAGGGACTTTGGACAAGCAGGTGCCAGTTGTACTGGTAGGCGGGTATTTTCCTGTGTAGGGGATTAGAGGCCAAACCTTGGCCTAGGGGCTTCATCTTAAATCTTGCTTAAGAAGGCACATTTTCCCCCCTGCAGAGCATATGACCCCTTCCCTCCCGGGTTTCACAGTTAAAAGGAAAACACAGACCTCTGAATGCTGTGTGCATGGACAGTCACTCATTCTGATACCTAATCTATGAGGGTAGGAAAGGGATTTTTTTCTTTGCCTAGCGTTAGCATGTAGAAAAGATGTGTGCTACAGTTATCGATGAGGAAATTCTATACTTAATGGCATATATGGGCTAGTGATATACTCATGGCAGCCTGGCGCTAGGGTTACAGCTTCTAACAGGAGATCCCATCGTAGTGTGGTCTGTCCTTTCCTGAGTGAGGCGTGGTTCAAGTACAGTGGCAGTTGCTAGGCATTTCTAGTCCCTCCCTCTTGGCTTGTAACAATTTTTAAAGCAACCATTGTTTCAGCCACTGAAAATGTTCTGGTGACCTTGTGTTTGTTTTTCTTCTCCTGATGCTTTAAAGGGCCTGAAGTTCTTCCAATGCCTCCTCCTCCCCCACTTTCCCCCTCTTCTACAAGGATCCGTGAAGTAGAATAAAAAAATCCTCTTAGTTGTGCAAGCAGAGATCAATTTCAGTACTATTACTATGAGTCTATGCTTATTCCCCGCCTAAATGTACACATGTAACACTAAGTTAAAGCAACCAGATGCAGAAAAATTTTAACAGAAAGTTATGCATGTGAACATACATCCTGCACTTCAGTTTTAAGGTGGTTTTTGCTTATCCTACTATATTTCTTTAATGTGATGAATGCTTTCTTAAAGATAATCACTGAAACAAAGCATCATACAGAGAAGTGTTATCAATTAGCTTGATGGCTTTTCAAAGTGTGGGCTCCCAATAACCACCTTTCGGACTAAGAAACAGGCATTTTCAGGACCTTAGAGGGTCCTAAGTGTTCCCTACTGTCACCTTCAGTCCCCCAAACCCCAGGGCAACCATTATTTTCATTTCAATATCACATATAAATTTTGCTTGTTTTTCTTTACAGTAGGTTTTCTGATGTGTTTTTAGCAACTGACATTACAATGCTATGCTTGTCAAGTTGGTCTTGTTTGAAGTGGTGTTCTACCAAATTAATATACCTAAATTTATTTATTCCTTAGATTGTTTTTAAAGAGGATCTAACTTTGTAGCCCAGGCTGGCTTTGACGTCATGATTCCCCTGCCACCAAGTCCTGAAACTGTTGGCAGATAGTTGGACTGCTTCCATTCAGGGCTAGTTTGGGTGGTGAACATTTCTTTGTGCGTCTCTTGGTTCATGAGCATATAGAGCAGACCACTCTCAGATGGTTAAGTGCTGAGATTTGTGTTGCCTTGCCCTTAGGACCCTTCCCATTTCTAATTATTAATGTAGGTGTAAGTACAGTCCAGCAGTGAACATGAAGGCAGCATGACTCAGTCATCCATAGAAATGGCCTCAGTGGGTACATGGTGAGATGCCCAAGGACCCAAGAACTGAGAGCCACCCGGAAATGTCACTTTTACTCTCAGCAGACACAAAGGGGGACATTTGCTGGAGTTAGCTGTTAGTCCAAGGTCAGAAACCTGAAGTTCTTAGTTTTGAAGCAGAGATGGTTTTCTTTTTTTTTTTTTCCCTTTAAAGTGGTCTTCAGTTCTTATAGTGTTGCACATCAAAAGAGAAAGATTTTCAGGTGGAATTACTAGATTTCTCCTTTAGGGAAAGGCACGGTCTTGGAGGAGTGCCCTTCCTGCTTTGTGTTTGAAGCTTCTGTGCAAATTGTCCCCTCCGCTCCTCCTCCCCGACTTTTCCAGCCGCAAACAGCCTGTCTTAACTTTGACATAATGGTCATTACCTTTCTGTTGCTGTGATAGAATGCCATAACCAAAACCTTCTGGAAGAGTTTATTTGGGTCTATGGTTCCATAGGGACAGTCCACAATGGCAGAGGAGATATGGCAGCAGGCAGCCTGAGCAATAAGCTTAGCTAGTATATCCCGCCCGCCAACTCAGGCATGCGGGAAACAGGAGTGGGAGTGCGGCTATAACTAACTCTCTGAGCCAGTCCCCAGTGACTGCTTTGTCCAGCAAGGCCACGCCTCCTAAAAGTCCCATACCGTCTCCAAACATCACTACCAACCAGAGACCCAAGTGTTCAAATGCATGAGCCCATTGGGGACATTTCTTATTTAAACCACCACAGACATGTTTGTTTTGCATATGATCTCACATGTTTCCCCTTATACTATTGTTAATTTGATTCTATATCTAGTGATATTGTCAGCTACTCTAGGGATGAGGACCACCCAGGTTTTACTCCTTTGCACTTTTTAGGACCTTATGGTATTGCAGTGCTGACTGATGTTTGTTAGTATGGAAATCTGTGTGTGTGTGTATACATGTATGTGCACTTGTGTGGAGGCTGAAGGTTGACACTGAGATGCCTTCCTCAGCTTCTTTCCATCTTATCATTTGAGACAGGGACTCTCACTGAACCCGGAGTTTGCCAATGGGGCAAGGCAGGCTGGCCACTGAGAGCCCAGGATGCACGTGCCTTTGATTCCCTGGTCCTGGAAGTACGAGTTCCTGCTCTTATACCGGGCTTCTTATGTGGGACTAGGGGTTTAACTTGGTCATCATGCTTGTGCAGCAGGCACTTTCCCATCTAAGCGGTCACTTCAGTGTCTCCTTTGATACAGTAACTTATCTTACTGACTTGATTTGCTAGGCAGCAGGATGTGGAAAATAGTTAAACAATTTCAAGTGTCATCCCTCTTTATAAGAGCAGGCTTTATAAGAGAACATTAATTGTACTCAAAGGGCTATAAAAATTGGAGAAAAAAATGCTGTGCTTAGCTTGTTGAAACATTGGAGAGTTACTGTCACTGATGATGAGCTAGAGTAGGAGGGGAGGACTTATGACTAGAAAGGGAACTTTTTCTTGTACCATTTTGATTCTTCAGAGAAAATTACCGGATTTATAGGACTTCTCAGAGGACATCTTCGTAGCTGCTAAAATCCTGGTGTGTCACCCATTACTGGGGGCTCCCCCCCTTGGTTGTGAAGCATCTGTGTTGATGGAAGGTCTCTGTGTTGTCCATTCCTGAATACTTCTTTAATGTGGCCTTTCCTTCCTCAGTTTCCTCTTGTTGGGTATTTCCATTCGCAGCCCTGAGATCGTAGGCTCTTTTCCTCAGACTGTGTAAGCTTTGAGAGCCACACAGTGTACCACAAACCCTGAACCGGCCACTGGTGAGGAAAGTGACCTCAGGACTTGGGAGCTTGGCGTTAGTTTTCCATAGTGGATGGACAGAAAAGGAAGACATCTGACTGACTACAGATCCAGGTGTGAAGAAATGGGCTATTCGTGAGAGTTTTTCATTTGGTCCACTCTACTGAGCTTTCAAAGTAAGCATTGAAAACAATTTAAGCACTAGAACTTTTTTTTTTTTTTCCGAGATAGGGTTTCTCGGTATTATTTTGGAGGCTGTCCTGGCACTCGCTCTGTAGACCATGCTGGCCTCGAACTCACAGAGATCCACCTACCTCTGCCTCCCAAGTGCTGGGATTAAAGGCATGCGCCACCAACGCCCGGCTCGCACTAGAACTTTCTTAAGAGCATAGTTCTAATGGTTTGGAAAACAGTGTTCGATGACTCTTACATTAGGTTTCTATTGCTGCACTAGAACTTTCTTAAGAGCATAGTTCTAATGGTTTGGAAA